TATAGATGAAAAAAAAATATATATATATATATATATATATATATATATATATATATATATATATTAGATTATTAAAAAACTTAATTCAAAATTAGTAATGTCGCAACTAATAAAATAAGTTAAATAATAAAAATAATAAAACTAAAACCAAAATAATAAATTACAGCTATATAGAAACATTAAAAATGATTTCTAAACTTATAACTTACATAAAAAAAAAATTAAAAACAAACCAACAAAAAATTCTTTTTTACATAAATAATACTAAAGCCATTGGTCTGTTGCTCACAAAATCACTATTGTATCAATCTGGAGTCATGTGGACTACTTTAATTATATTTTTACAATAATTACTGAGGCCTGGCATCTTCATTCTATGGTCATTATTTGGATTGAAAAGGTCAATCATGGCTTTCTTTAAAATGTCTAATTTTGTGTTTCACAGGACATGGTCAGACAGGACAACGTGGGAGTGACCGAATTTTACTTTTTGACTGAATCGTGTTAATTTTGTCATACTGTATTATTAACGGTTTCTTTACATAGAGTTGATACTCTCAGGCATTTCTGTTTTTTTGTTTGTTTTTTTCAAAATTACAAGTTATTTAGGTTGAAAGTGTCTTCAGATTTGAACAAAATGTGTTTTAAGATAATTATCTGATTATGTAAGCTACTGAGCTTCATAAACACACTAAATACAAAAAAGTATCATGCTATTGGCATGTTCTGAACAGGGCTAATCTTTCAATCGGAGAAGCATGTTATCATTCAGTGCCATGTAACCTATCCAATATCCAACATTCTTCAGGTGTTTTTTAAAAGACATTTTTCTTGTTTACTGATGTCAAAACTCACACCAGATGACATACAGTGTATCAGTGAGTAAGCCATCTTGTAGTTTTACTAATGTTAGGACCACCTGGCGGGTCAAAGACATGAATAACAGATGGAGAGCTTGGACACATGCTGCTATAAAAACACTGACCATTTCATAACGCGACGACATAATATCAACAAACAAACAAAACTTAAGCACACTACGAATTAAGGATTTTGCCGTCTTTCCACGTGCATTTTTCATACATAAATAAAAAAGCGTTATTGTGTTTATATATTTAGCTTCCAAGCAATACGCTTACATTACTCTATATGGCTGGGTCCGCATTGGTGCAGTAGCACATAACCAGCTATAGCCGAGTCAAAAATGCATTAGAACTTACTCTTAAAAATAAAACCGCTTACGTTTAACATTCCTAATCGACCGACCCTGTCATATGTTGTTACCTATAAAGATCACGGTGTACTCTACCCACGCTGGTCAGTGATGATACTCACCCTCAAACGCCGTGATGCTGCGAATGGGACGTGATAAGCGGTGGTGTAGAGAGAAAGATCCTCCATGCTGTGAGAGGGAGGAGAGATGCTGGGACAGTGATGCACGTGTGACACAAACACTGTAAAAAGTGGCAACGTACAGTTATTTCTACACGATCTTAACCCTTAAAATGACTCGTATTAGCTGGTTGATATCAGTTGCGGTTCCGAATATAAGCACGGCTGTGATTCAGTCATATGCAAAAGCTTGTGTTTAGAATGTCCTACTGAAATGATAACATTGGTTTAAATGATGCTTGAGCTACTTTTATCCATTCACGGCAAATTGTGTCTTGCCAGAAGTGGGATTTGTACGGTGGCCGTAAAGTGCAAAGCAGATCACAATTCTGAAAACAAAATAACAAATTACAAACGCAAATGCAAGTCTAAAAAACAAAATAACAATTCAGAAAGCACAACAACAATTCAGAAAACATTATAACAAGTCAGAAAGCGCAACGACATATCCGAAAACAAATGAACAAGTCAGAAAACACAAGGACAATTCAGACAAACCGGAAGAGGTAGGTATAGTTTGAGACAGCGCCATTGGTTTGGGATTACTCACCGCTGACTGGACGAGACATCTGTCAATCAACATATACAGAGAAGAACCAGCCGAAGAACAGCAGAGTCGTGGCAGAAAGTTCGGAGATGGTATTAAAGTAGCTCAGTTTAAATGTATTGTATGAATTGCCCTTAGTATGGAATAAAAAATACGGGGTGTCTGTTTACATTTAGTTAAAAGTGGGTGGAACTATCAGCTCTAGTGACGCTGATGGATAAGCACTTGCCCATGGCTTTTTGACGCGATCGACCCGGGTTCGATCCCGCCTTTTGCCAAACTTTTT